TGCAGTGGTGTTTCATTAGGTTTAGTTAGGACAATATTCTTGGTTTTTTTCAGTTTGTGGGTCCCTAGAATCTGAGAGAGTGTTTTCCAGGACTTTTTTATATCTCCTCTTGTGTCAGTGAATCTACTGGAGTAGTATAGTTGTTTGGCTTTCTATATTACTTTGGTGAGGACTGATGAATAGTGTTTAAGAATATCTTTGTGTATTAAGCCCTGTCTATATTGCTTTTCATATTGGTGTTTCTTATCAATGGATTTCAGAATGGTGCTGGTTAGCCATGGGCAACCAAGCCGTTTGTTTGTGATCTGTTTCGTTTTTATAGGACAATGTTTGTTGTATAGTCTAAGTAGTTTGTTAAGAAAAATGTCTGTCCAGTCGTCAATACCATTGGCCTTGGAGAATTCTGTAGGCCAGTCAACAGTCTCTAGGTCAGCTGTGAACTTCCTTATTGAGGCCTCATCATGGAGTCTAAATGAGACTTTGTTGTATTCAAGTGGTGGTTTACTAATGTTTGTCAAGAGGAAGGTAGGGTAGTGGTCTGTAGTGCTATCTGTGATTATCCCTGATTTAAGGGGGGCTAGTGTATTGGTCCATATGTGGTCTATTATGGTTGCACTTGTTTCAGTGAGCTTGGTTGGTTTAGTTATTGTTGGTATGAGAAGTGTGTTGTTCATATTGTTGATGAAATCAGTTACAGGCTGATCATCTAGTAGGCCAAGGTTGATGTTGAAGTCTCCAGCTAAGAGAAGGTGGTGCTTATTCATTTGTCTGTTTGTTATTAGTGCCTTTAATTTCTCACTGAAGTTTGGGATGTCAGTGTGGGGTATCCGGTAAATGGCACCGATTGTTATAGGCGTCTTAAGGTTTTTTACAGTAAAATTAGCAAAAATGTATTCTCCATATTCATCACTAAAGCAATTGGTGCTGATACAAGATAATTGGTTAGAGTAATAGATTGCAAAAACCACCCCCAACTTGGTATGGTCTGCAGTTGTGGATTGCTGTGTATCCTGGTAGAGGGTAGATATCTATTGTGTCCTCTTTTAGCCAGGTTTCGGTAAGAATAATGCAGGAGAAGGGTGTCTTTAGTGATTCAAGGAGTGCCAGGAGGTCATCATAGTGTTTGCTTAAGGACCTGATGTTGTAGTTAAGTACTGATAGACTTTTATCATTGTTTAGATTTGTGCTGGCTTGTGATGCTGTGTAGTAAAGGCAGTTACTTTCCAATAGGTTTTGATTGTGTGTCAGATTATGGAGGTTTAGATCAGGGTCAACGTGATCAATCATCTTCTAGGTTTAAATTATGGTTATTTATATCCTGAGTTGTGTGTTGAGTTTTAGTACTGATATCTGTAGTGGTGGGACGTTTGGACAAGTATATAGCTATAGCATTTTGGTCATGTAGAGTATAGTCACTAATACACATAATGAAGTTGGTGTTGTCTATGTGTTGTGCTGGAATGAGCTAAAGTACAACTAGGTATAAACTAATAATATAAAAATACAAATTAAAAATAGCACAGGACTCTCATTTGTAATTGCACTAAGGTCTAATGTAATGACTTTGGTATAGTCTATGTATTGACCTAGAGTGAGCAATAGTACAACTAGGTTTAATCTAATAATGTAGAAATACAAATTAAAAATAGCACCAGGCTCTCACTAGTAATTACACTATGGTCTAATATAATGACTTTGGTACTGACTATGTATTGAGCTAGAATGAGCTATAGTACAACTGAGTTTAATGTAATGATATAAAAAAGGCACAAGACTCTCAGTTGTAATTGCACTAGGGTGTTATATAAGTTGTTTACAAGAATTAGAGTATAACTAGATTTAAATTGACAAGATAAAATATACAAGTTAAGGTAGCAAAAGAATAAAAAAAAGTAGAAAAAAAAAAATATATGAGGTAGTTGGTACTAGTTAGCAAAAGATAGTTAAGGGCCTTGAAAATAATATAATTGAAATATACACTAATTGCACACACAATATAGTCACTAAGATATGAAAACAATCTTAGAGTAGGACTTACAATATAAACTTATAATATAAAAATACAAATTGAAATGGTACTTGCAATTGCACTAGAGTCTGGTATATGTTGTTGACAAGATCAAGAGTATAACTAGATTTAAATTGACAAAATAAAATTCACAATTAAAGTACCAAAAGAATAATAGTAAAAAATAACAAAGGTAATGTCTTGGTTATAATATGATGTAAGATGGCAACAAAATGTTATGGGAAGTATAAAATAATGTTTAATGTAAAAAAGTAAAATTGACTGGTAGTAATATGGTGTTTAATAAAATTTTAGTAAGTAATAATGATTACAAAAAAAGTGAAAAAGTAATGTTTATTTCATTCAATATTGCACTGGTAGTTATACTTGAGGTTATTTGGCAGTACAAGGTAATTAAGAGTACTCTAAGATAGAAATGTGGTATTAAAACAGATAAAGGTAATTAGACAAGTAATGGTTATTAAATGTCAAAAATGTTGAGAGTAAATTGAAATTATAGTAAAATGGTAATTATTAATTTTAGTAAGTAATATCAATTGATAGTATTTAAAAAAAAAAATGAGGTAGTAATATGGACAGAGAAAGTATCAATTCAGCTAATGTTTAAGCAAACAATAGTAAATAAGAAAATTACATAAGGTGACTTATGCTTACTAGTAAAATCACAAAATGAGGTAGTTGATTATTTAATTACTAAGAGATTGTACAATGAAATTTGAACAATAATGGAGCAAAACATACACTACACGACGTAGGCTTTTAGGTTGGACATTGTTTAGTTATTCTCTGTAAGATTAGTATCCCTGAGAAATCGTGATAGATCATTCTCGTTCGTGATTGTGTACAGTTGACCTACATTTGTTTTCCTAACTAGAATTTTCCCATCCCGTGTGAAGCATTGGTGTATTGTGTCATTATTCTTCCGCTTAAGTTTTCTGACTCCCAGCACACATAAGGGGGATTACCAACAGACCCCTGGCAGTCTTCAAGCTGGCACTGGACAAGCACCTAAAGTCAGTTCCTGATCAGCCGGGCTGTGGCTCGTACGTTGGTTTGCGTGCAGCCAGCAGCAACAGCCTGGTTGATCAGGGGCTGATCCACCAGGAGGCCTGGTCACAGACCGGGCCGCGGGGGCGTTGACCCCCGAAACTCTCTCCAGGTAAACTCCAGGTAAACAGGAGGTTCTGACGTTTTTTGGTAAGACACTTGTTTATGTATACCTCTTTCTTTACTTTAATAAATGCAATAATTAAGTCTTTTTTCCTGTCATGTGAGTGGAATCTAAGCATAACACTTTTTCTACTATGGGATCCTAGTAACCTGGCTTCTTTTATTTCTGACTCTGGTACTGTAACTTTTGTTTGGTCCTTTATGATCTGCAGAGTAATTTCTTTACTGTTTGTTTGGTTCATATCACATTATTTATGGGAAATATTACTTTGGTTTTCAGCCATTTCGGATTTAGGCCAACCTTCTGGAACAGATTATGGCCAAAAACTGGGGGTCTACTGTACTGTATAAATTTTTTTCATCCTGACCTGTATCATTATTAATTTCTGGAATTTCATTTGTATCTTCTTGGGTGTTTTAAATGGTACACATTTTCATTTAGTCTTTGTTCACTGGTATAATAGATACATGGTCTTCCTCTAGTCAGGACAACTATTTATGAATTTTTGTCACCTAATTTGTTTGCATAAATACTCATTACGATTGTAACCAGATATAAACATGTAAATGGTTCACTACAACTATAACTTGTTTAGTTAACTGAGCTTTGCTGCCCAGTCGCTGGACCCATTATGTGCCTCTGTAATCTTCTAACTACCGCCAACACCATGGGTATGAATTGCATAATAAAGATACTAAACTAATGTTGGAAAATGGTGGCTAACACTCTCATTTCATACGGCGAGGGCCTGGGTTCGATTCCCAGCCAGAGTAGAAACATTGGGCGTGTTTCTTTCCACCTGTTGTCTATGTTCCCCATCAGTAAAATGGGTACCTGGGTGTTAGTCGACTGGTGTGGGTCGCATCCTGGGACACTGACCTAATTTGCCCGACATGCGGAGCATAACAAGGGGCTTTCTATATAGTAGTATGTCATTGATGTCAGCTAGGACTGTATACCTTGTACATGTACTTGTAGTAAATAAAGATATTATTATTATTATTATTATTATTATAACATGTGCAACACTTGTGAATCTTTGGTGAGGAAACGTTTTGCTGCACAGTGGCTTCATCAATCCTATACAAAGAAGAGTGATGAAGATCAGGAGTTTGAGGTTATCAGTCCCTCAGATTGATGAAGCCAGTGTAGCGAAATGTATCCTCAATAAAGATACGAAAGTGTTGCACATTTATTTATTTATTTTGTAATTTTAGCATACATACAGAGGTACAAAAAAATACAGGTAAGAGCAGCATGCCAAAGCCACTTATATGCATAGCATTACGGGCTGGCTTAAAATTAACTTAAGATTAACTAAGCAATGATGAAATCAGTGATACAATAAGTGTCAGGGGCCCGAAACTGTTCAACTGCCTCCCAGCACACATAAGGGGGATTACCAACAGACCCCTGGCAGTCTTCAAGCTGGCACTGGACAAGCACCTAAAGTCGGTTCCTGATCAGCCGGGCTGTGGCTCGTACGTTGGTTTGCGTGCAGCCAGCAGCAACAGCCTGGTTGATCAGGCTCTGATCCACCAGGAGGCCTGGTCACAGACCGGGCCGCGGGGGCGTTGACCCCCGGAACTCTCTCCAGGTAAACTCCAGGTAAAACATTATTGTAAACAGATAACTATAAAGCACAAATGAATATTACAAAGACAGGTCATATGGTTGCATGCTTTGCTGTACATTCAGTCGAATGGAGTATTCTGTTAGGTATTCTGGTAGGTATAGAGTATTCTGGTAGGTAGTCTAATTTATCATATTAAACATGTGAGCCTGCCACGTCCCACTGACCTGTACTCATATTTGTCGTCACTATACTTCTCAGAGTACTGAATCTGGTCAGTCTTCATCCTGCAGGTGTGTGCAAACTGTTGCTTACTTGCAAACTGTATAATACACCACCACCTCCGTTCTTTCTTTCTTTCTTTGTTGTTGTTGTTGTTGTTGGGGTGAGTTAGGGTTACCCAGGCGCAGCCCTCGGCCACCTCTGTCTCCCGGGAATAACAATAAAGGTATGCAGGATTAGCTGACATTTGTGGCATACTACTTTATAGAAAGTCGCTTGTTATGCAGAGCATTTCGGGCAAATTAGGTCAGTTTTGTCCCAGGAGATGCGACTCACACCAGTCGACTAACATCCAGGTACCCATTTTACTGACGGGTGAACATAGACAACTAGTGTAGGAAACACGTCCGATGATTCCGCCTCTTCGCCGGGAATCGAACCTGGACCTCCACCTTGTGAAGCGAGAGCTTTTTGCCACCAGGCCACGGGGTACCATGCACAGTGACAGCACATACACTACCTTCCTTGGCCTCAAATCTGTTTTTGATGTAGCCAACCGACACGTAATCATTAGTGAACTTGCCAGAATGGATGTAGGAGGACGGCTTCTCTGCTGGATTAAAGGCTACTTGTCCAACAGAAACTCTTCTATTGGACAGGTAGCCTGGGGCATAGAAGTGTAACTAAAGAATTTGAATTAGGAACCCCACAGGGTGGTGTACTCAGTCTCATCTTATTCAATATTCTAATAAATGCCTTCAATATTCTAATAAATAATTCACAAACAAGTCTACTCTACTACTGCAAAAACCCCTTACAGTTATAAACATCTATAGAGTACCACAGTCAAACATTTACCACTTCAGTGAAAAACTAGGAAACATGATTACTGATGCACACATGAATAAAGACCACCTGCTACTAACAGGTGATTTCAACATAAACATACTACACGACCAGGACCCACAAGTAACCGAATTCACAAACACAATGAGCAACTGCCTGTTGCTACCAGCAATATTTAAGCCTACAAGAATCACCGAGACAAGTATCTCCTTAATAGACAAACACCTTAATGGACAAACACCATATCCCCTTTAAGATCAGGCATAATCACAGATAACACTACAGACCACTACCCAACCTTTCTCATAACTAATCTGGGGAAATTGTCACAAGACATTACTAAAGTAACCTTCAGACTACATAACGAGACAGCTGTTAACAAATTTATAGCAGCTATGAATAACATCGATTGGCAAAATGAGTTTGAAACATATACAGACATGAATGAATGTATAAATAATTTTCTAAAAAAAAAAAAAAGCCCAATGCCTCTACAACAAACATTGCCCCCCAAAAAACAAAATAGATCATAGCAAAGAGACTGAATAGTCCCTGGCTAACAACTAGCATCCTCAAATCCATTAACACAAAGCACAAATATGAAAAACAGTATAGAATGGATCAAATAACTAGAGAACAGTCTAAACGTTACTCGTCAGCACTTTCCAGCCTGATAAGAAGATCTAAAAAATTGTATTATGAAAATAGATTACATAACATCAAAGGTGATATGAAAAAAAACTGGAAAACTCTATTTGAAATTCTTGGATCTAAAATGTTATCCAAAAGCAAAAAATCAAACTAACAAAATCAGACGAACCCCTACTCACGTCAACTGAAACAGCAAACAGACTCAATGTTTTCTTCTCCACCATAGGAAAAAATCTAGCGAACAAAATACCAAGCTCAATGCACCCGTCCATCAGACTACCTCATAGGTACCTACCCAAATACGCTATTCCTAGCTCCAACCAACCCACTAGAAGTCTCGCTCGTCATCAACACCCTTAAAAACAAGGCAGGTGACACAAACAACTTGCCTGCTTTTAAGTACAAAAAAGTTTCTCAAGTATTGTCACCAATTATTGCAACACTCTTTAACAAATCCATTGAATCATTGAATTATTGCAACACTCTTTAACAAATCCATTGAATCCCAACAATCCTCAAAATAGCGAGGGTCACTCAGATCCATAAAGGAGGTGACCAAGCTGACTTGAATAACTATAGACCAATATCTAACTTACCACTGCTCTCTAAAATCTTTGAACAATCAATTCATAGACGGATCTATTCCTACCTCTTCTCACACAACATATTAAACCCTTGTCAATTTGGATTCAGGAATAATAAAAGCACAAATGATGCTATCATACACGTGCTAGAACTAATATATACCACACTTGAAAAGAAAGAAGTCCCGCTGGGCATTTTCATTGATTTACGTATAGCTTTTGATACAGTCGACCACGAACTGCTGTACTCTAAATTAACGCACTATGGTATCAGAGGCCACTCCCTCAACTACCTGAAGTCATACCTTAGTAACAGAACTCAATATGTGTATGCAAATGGTGCAAACTCTTCCACCCAACCAATCACAGTAGGAGTCCCACAAGGAAATGTCCTTGGACCACTCCTCTTTCTTATCCAGGTAAACTCCAGGTATCTACATCAATGATCTACCGAATGCATCACAGCTACTCAAGCCCATACTATTTGCAGATGACGCAACATATGCCTTCTCCCACCCAAACCCAGTCATACTAGCAAACACTGTCAATGCCGAAGTGCAGAAAATATCTGTCTGGATGATAACTAATAAACTTACCCTGAATACTGATAAAACATATTTCATTCAGTTTGGAAACAAAGCTGCAAATCATCCAATTAACATAACGCTAAATGGGTCATCAGTCACAAGACTTACAGAGGGAAAATTCCTAGGTATCTACCTTGACAGTAGCGTTAAATTCCAGACACACGTACAACAAATCACCAAGAAAATCTCTAAGACTGTAGGTATACTATCAAAGATAAGGTACTACGTTCCACAATCAGCTCTCCTGGCACTGTACCATTCACTCATATACCCTTACCTCACCTATGGAATTTGTGCATGGGGATCAACAACATTCAATCACCTAAGGCCTCTAATAACTCAGCAAAAGGGAGCAGTCAGAATGATAACAAATTCCCACTCCCGACAGCACTCCACCAATTTTCGAAAGTCTGAATCTGCTCACCATTAAGAACATCCATACTTATTCATGTACCTACTACATACACAGAACAATACACGCAAACATAAACCCTCCACTCAAACTTCTCCTCACCAACCTTAGCAGGACAAATAACCATAACACAAGACACAGCTCTCTTTTTGATATACCTCGTGTCTATCACACTGTGTAAAGACTCTATGCACATAAAGGGCCCCAAAATTTGGAATTCATTACCAGAAGATACTAAAGTAACCTAGTCTGAAAATCAATTTAAGACTCTTCTCAAAAGCCACTGAATCACCCTAAACTAAATGCTAAATATTCGGTAAACACATACTCACTTATGTATTCCTACATCATAATTTCAACAATTACTTTGACCCTTCTATCCATTGTTGACAGGAATATAATTTGAATCATTGTTTTCACAAAAAGCATTTTTTGAGTATATGAATATATCTTTTGTCTTATATAAATCAGATTCACTTATAATTTATAATCTACTGTACAACTATGATATAATTAATATTCTACTGTACAACTATGATATACTCCTTAGTATTAAGTAGTCTGTAAGCCAATAATGTTAAGTCGGCCCATAACGCCTAAGCATAATAGAGGCTCTCTTTGCATTGCAACCCATTATTGTAAATACAAAATCTCAATGTACTTTTTGCAAAAACATAAATAAATAAATAAATAAATAAATAAATAAATAAATAAAAAATAAATAATTAAATAAATAAAGTATCCCACAACATACTCAACCCCTGTCAATTTGGATTCACATCGAAAAAAAGTACTAATGATGCTACATATATTCAGCACTCGAAAAAAAATAATTTCCCCTGGGTCTTTTCGTAGACTTACGAAAAGCTTTTGATGCAGTTGACCATGACCTATTGCACCAAAACCTTGAACATTACGGGGTCAGAGGACACTCGATTACCTAAAATCTTATCTAAGCAATAGAACCCAGTATGTATACACAAATGGAGCTAATTCCATTACACTACCAGTTCTTGTTGGAGTCTCACAAGGGAGTGTCCTTGGCCCACTTCTCTTTCTCATTTACATCAATGACCTCCCAAACGCATCTAAACTCATTAAACCCATCTTATTTGCAGATGACACTGCTGTATAGCCCTTGTGGTTTAGCGCTTCTTTTTTATTATAATAATAATAATACAGATGACACTACTAGATATGGTAAACACGAGGAAATTAAATCTTCATCAGAGTACAAAACAAATTCTGGCCACAAAATAGAGCGAAACACCAACGTCAAGACATGGGAGTGATCATGTCGGAGGATCTCACCTTCAAGGACCATAACATTGTATCAATCGCATCTGCTAGAAAAATGACAGGATGGATAATGAGAACCTTCAAAACTAGGGAGGCCAAGCCCAAGATGACACTCTTCAGGTCACTTGTTCTATCTAGGCTGGAATATTGCTGCACACTAACAGCACCTTTCAAGGCAGGTGAAATTGCTGACCTAGAAAATGTACAGAGAACCTTCACGGCGCGCATAACGGAGATAAAACACCACAATTACTGGGAGCGCTTGAGGTTCCTGAACCTGTATTCCCTGGAACGCAGGCGGGAGAGATACATGATTATATACACCTGGAAAATCCCAGAGGGAGTAGTACCGAACTTGCACACGAAAATCACTCACTACGAAAGCAAAAGACTTGGCAGACGATGCAACATCCCCCCAATGAAAAGCAGGGGTGTCACTAGCACGTTAAGACACAATACAATAAATGTCAGGGGCCCGAGACTGTTCAACTGCCTCCCAGCATACATAAGGGGGATTACCAACAGACCCCTGGCAGTCTTCAAGCTGGCACTGGACAAGCACCTAAAGTCGGTTCCTGACCAGCCGGGCTGTGGCTCGTACGTTGGTTTGCGTGCAGCCAGCAGCAACAGCCTGGTTGATCAGGCTCTGATCCACCAGGAGGCCTGGTCACAGACCGGGCCGCGGGGGCGTTGACCCCCGGAACTCTCTCCAGGTAAACTCCAGGTAAACTTATGTCTTCTCTCACCCAAACCCAACCATAATAACAGATACTGTAAATGCTGAACTACTAAAAATATCTACTTGGATGAC